ATGTCCTCTAGGGGACGTGGACGTAAAGGGACGTAAATTTTATATGCTAAATACTTTAGGGACCCATCTTTACCTATGGCACTCTAACTACTGAGCTATGGACCTATAGGTCGATTTATTTATTCTATTATTATTATAATAACAATATTATTATAATAAATAATTTCAAATATATTCTATTATCCATATTAAGAAAAGAAATATTAACAAGTCGAAAAGAACTGAAGAAATGAGACAAAAAGTTTGATTAGGATTTTTTTGAATCAAACCTTTATTTTTACAGATTTTATAATTTATTTAACTTAGTTTTAGTTTAATTATTCTTATTTTTTTTTTAAACTTCTCAAATATAAAAACTTTTTTTTTTGAGTAGATAGGTATAGCTTACTATTCAGTCTTTATTTAATAATAGTATTGTTTAAAATTTTCTTTTTTTTTATTAGTTAGATATTGTATAAGTAGATAAGTTAATATTTAACTTATTATATATTTTTGCACCTAAAAAATATTGTTTTTTTCAAATATATATGTTATTATACATATAAAAAAATAAAGAATAATATTTATTTACTTTAAAAAAAAAATAAATAAATAAAATATTTTTAATTAAATAAAATTGTTTATTTAATTAAATTAATATAATAAAAAATAAAAAAAATCAATAATAAAATAATATAAAAAATAAAAAATAATTTTAATAAGAAAATTTTTAAGAAAAAAAAACTATTTATTAATAGAAAAAAAGAAATAAAAAAAAAATCAGATTATATTTTATAAATTATTTTTCTTTTAATTTATAAAAAAAATTTTGTAATAAAATAAAAAAGAAGATTTTTTTTTTAAAAAATATTTTTTTTTATGATATTATTTAAAAATCCGATTTTTTTATTTTATTTATAAATATAAAATTACTATTAAAAATTTTTTAATTTTCAAAATTGGAATTTTGGTATTTAATATTTTAATTTTGATATTTAATATTTTATGTAGAATAATATTATTTATTTAAATAAAGACGATTATATATTTATATATAATTAACTTTTCGTTTACTTTTTTTTTTACTTCTAATTTATTTCAGACTACTGATATATGAAATATTTTTATTGTATTATATTGATAAAAAATTTTTTAAACAAAGATGTCTTTTTAATAATATCAAATAAAAAAAATAATTAAAATCAGGATAAATGAATACAAAATAAATTATTATTATTATTATTTTCTTTTAAATAAAATATTTAATTATGCAGTATAAAATATGTCAAGTTAAACCTGATATTTAACATACTGTAAATAGCTAAAATGCGTATAAAGATAAGCTACGCACAGTAAATGCCAAGGCGCTAAAATGTATAGCTATAAAGTTGTAAATGGAAAAATACCATAAAGACTAGCCACGCACAGTAAATGCCAAGGCGCTAAAAATGTATAGCTATAAAGTTGTAAATGGAAAAATACCATAAAGATTAGCCACGCACAGTAAGTGTGAATGGAAAAATACCATAAAGACTAGCCACGCACAGCAAATGCCAAGGCGCTAAAATGTATAGCCGTAAAGTTGTAAATGGAAAAATATTAACTAGCCATAAAGATTAGCCACGCACAGTAAATGCCAGATGCTAAAATGTATGACTAGTGAATAGAAAATTGGTATAATCGTGTGGATTGGTTAAATTGAATCCACACACTATGATACATACATTTACCAATTCTTGTTCACATTAATACTAATTCCCAATGAAAAAAATGCATTTCATCAATTAATTCGCATCATACATCAATTTGGAAATTTTAATCTGAAGTAGCAAAACTGCACACCGAGTTTACCTCACGTGCTGAATGTTTATCGACAGGAGTGAGAGAAAGATGCTGTATTTCTTTCTGCCAAAGGTTCCTCGATCATCTTTTCCCACAGATGACACGAATTGTCTTGCTTTAAAGATAATGTCCACGTTCACGAATTACTGTATCAAAATATTTCACACCGTCTTCAAGCACAAAAAAGGATAGGATGTTCGAGAAATCTCGCCAATTAATTTTTTTTTCTTTACCGATCTGCGCATTATATTGCAATCAAATTTCTATTTGCAGAAAATTGATCATTTAATGAATCATTATTCTTCAAATGGGTACATCAGTTTTACAACCATGTTAGTAAGAACGTATCAACCAAAAGAATTTGTGTCAGATAGATAGAATCCTCCTTACGTAAGAACTTAATATAGCAATTCAACACAATCGTACCTTTTTTGTTGATCCATTTGGGAATTGAAAAAGATTGCAAGGTTCTCGTGTAACATCTTACATGAACCATAGTATGGACAGTGGTTAAATGCTGTCGAGTTCTCGTTATATGAAGAAATGAATTGTGCCACTTTTTCTATGAATGATAGTCGAAGGTCATCAAGAAATCACTCATGGTGTACGAGCATCAAGACAAGATGTAGAATAGGAGTATGAAAATTCAATTTGCGCACTATCATCATATAAATTCATTTGTAATTGATATCATCTATTCGCCTACTAATATCACGAGATACAGTAAATCCCATTTACGCAGACATAAGAGGAGTTTCGTGCGGCCGACAAGCATGTTCAATTGAGAATGATCATATTTCTTGGAAGATTCCGAGGATAAAGTTTAGAAAGATTGACCAAGAGCGTCAGAGTTTGTTTATTTCAATGTTACCTGATATTATGATGCAACGAATTTGGAAATTATTGAATATACAAAAAATTTATTATTTTATGGTAACGTACGCACGAAAGCACAAAAGTGCATACTGTATGTAGGTGCATACATCGATATCAATTTTCATATACGGCAAACCTCTACCACGGAGATTATGCTATTTCGGCATTATAATTTCGACTATTGTCACTTACACGGTATATGGAATGAGACTAAAACGTGATTGGGCAGCATTAAACAATGCCACACAACCAACATAAAAACATAAACCCTTTTTTTTTTTTTCACATTAGGTTAAGCGAGGTGAACTCCTGTTGTTGCAGATTGTTATCATGAATGTCTTGCCTTATCCTTATTATGGTGTATTTTATTTTGTGTTTATTATTGTCAAACCTCAAACTCCCATCCTCCCCCTCTCTTCCCCTCCCCCATAATATGATATTTATTCGAGGCGGCGAATCAAAAACCTTATTTTGAAATTTATCGTATCACAAATTTCCAGATTCGAATTGTGTCACTAGCTCATGATTTTGTATCACCATGTTTCGCTTGGTGTGACGTTTGTGTAGAAAGTGTATTGCATCTTTTTTATCTATTGTAGCAAGGTTGGGGCTCAAAGGCGTATTCAATACAACCGATGCACGAGATTTAAACTATAATTGGAATTGTACGTGAAACCAAAAAAATTGGCATAACAAGGTTTATCCGAACAAGTCCGAGATTTTTCCGCTCTTGTAGATTTTTTCACTATTGCCACCACTACTGTGAATGTTAATGCCACCCACAATTTTTTAGTTTCGTCGGTTTTTTTATTCTACAAGTTGTTTTTCACAACTATAATTGAACCTCTACATTTTGTGTAACAATTATGTATACAAATTTCTTTGTTTATCAATGTAAGTCGACGAACAAAAAAAAATTATCTTTAGTATCTGTTGAATTTCCTGGTACCTAAAAAAACCTAATACTGAGAAATATAAGAGATTAACTTTTCTTATCAACTTCTTTTTCTGTTTACTCAAACACCTTGGCCACTACAACCTCTACTACATGCACATATCCTTCAACTCAAACAGTTAAGAGCAAAGAGATGACGAAAAAATCAAATGGTCTCTATCGTTTGAAAGTGACAACGGCCTGTCAAAATTGTCAGAGAAGGAAGATAAAGTGCTCGGGTGAGATCCCTTGTACCTACTGTCGAAAACTGGATAGGCAGTGTGAACCCGGGAAACCTGGAAAGAAGCGTGGTCCACCTCCTGGTCAGGAAATAATAAGGAGCAGGACTAGTCGGATTGAGAGCGTCATGAACGGCGCCGTTCGAGATCCAAACCTCAGGGAACAACTAAGACAGATAAATGTAGATGGAATCAATCCAGAGTTTCGACACAAGTTTGATCGTTTGCTCAACAATAGTAATCAGAAGGGTGATAGAGAACATCAACTCGTTGACTATCTGACTGAGGCATCAGGAAGCGATGTGGTTCAGTCACACACAACTAACAAATTAACAATACCACCTATTCAAAGTCTATTGAGTGGTCCGTCGACTGATTCAGAGCTACCGAGCATTGGTCTTCACCGTGAGTAGACTTCTTGCTTTCAATGTCTTCTTCATATGTATTTTTATTGATGGTTGAAAACTTCCACCCTCAATTAACGATGACAACCATCTTTGAAAATCTCCGAATATAGGGGATGATCAAACGAGACTTCCGTCCCTAGGCGATTTGGAGCTGGTGGAGAATAACTCTCCGCTTCTGTACAGACCAAAGCCCGTTTACCCTATTCACATGAAAGCACGACAGATGGCACACTATGAATCTGTCGGAAAATTACCAAAACCCTCAACTCCCAATCTTCCTTATCCTTATGGTGACAGGAATAATACCATCGGATCTGGCTCAATGTATTCTTCATCTTCTTCATCCACAGTGCCCGCATACCAATTGACACCTACATCGTCATCATCATCATCAAATTTAAATTCCTCATCTTCTGCGTTTAAATCGATTCCACTGTTGTCAAAGTTTCTTGCTTCTCCCTCATACTATTCCTCTTCACCATTGACTCACTCGCAACCATCACCTTATTCGCCCTCACCGTCATCTTCAAGATTACCGTCGTTGGTACCTTACCATGCATCCTCTCCAGGGATAACATCGCCATCCCCATCTGGTTATTCTTCGTCATCGACAAATGAACCATCCCTCTTGTCTATTGGTAGTCCGTGGTTGACTAACAAGTCACGTTCCCCCAGTGACTCTCCGTCATCTTCGTTTTCAAATCCATTTCCTACGAATTCAAACACCACAGCACAGCAACCACCGTCGGTTTTAGCAAGTTCAAACACAGATACACAATCGGCATCAAACACATTTACAACACCCCAACCACAATCAACTTCAACAGATTCAAACTCCACTCTAATTTCTACCAATAAGAACAGTGAATTGAATGCAAGCCCATCACGATCAAACAATGAATCATCACGTCAACGATCTACTCCCCCTTCTGTGCAAGCTCCCATCGCATCAAGGTTCGTTCTTTCACAGCCAGAGCAACAGAATTATGGTCCGCACACAAGGCCTTCACTGCGACCATTCATCGATCCTTTACATCTGCGAAAACCACCAGCTCAAGATAGTTCATTTCCAATCGAGTGGTTGCCACCGAGCACTTCTTCTACTTATTCTAATAAGGAAAGAGGTGGTGAAAAACACACTTTAGACGGAATTGGGGTTTATTATCAAGCTGATTATAACATTCAAAGTAATCATGATAACCTGAATCAAATGACCTTCCCTGTAGGTTGCGATCAAGAAAAATTGGCCAGAGGGCTTGGTGGTCGACTTGTCGAAATCCCATCACCTGATGAACACGGTACCAAAAGGGCAAAGATTTCTAACCACTATGTTACTCCGATTTTTAGTGGTAGGCAGATTTCCAGTAAAAAGAGTAAACCGTATGTGTATAAGATGGCATCAAAAAAATCCCAACCAAAAAAGAAAGGATCTAGCGAAGTGATCTATAAAGCGCTGAATTCTATTGATCGTAGAGCGTTGAATCGTGGCATAAATGAAAGTCGAGGTGTCGAAAGGAACTCCTATGAGAACCATGACCTCAATCCGGTACAAGACGACGATGTGAATCAACAACCGATTGCCACAGTTGATCGTGATTTCGCCTCAGGGAACGAATGTGACTTGAATCAACCACCAATCTCCACTATTGTCGGCAGCTTCACTGCAAGACATGAACGAAATCCAAGTGAAACGTCCATTGTGGGGGGGAGTGGCAATCTTTTTGGTTCCATAGGGAATGACATGATTGTAGGCAAGGATCACAATGCTCTTGCTCGAACAATGATTGATCTCACTGATAAGGATGAAGGAGAAAAAAATGAAAGACAATTTTCAACAGTTAACAATAGTGCTTCCGATGCTAATAATGATAGTGATTCAAATGTCAGGTCTAATGTTGGCAGTTTAAGTATTGCGGTGGAGAAAAATTATTGTTCGACCCTCGGCAAATTGATGAACCAGAAGTCATCTTTTGCTCCTGGCTCTTGCTCGCCTGCAGACGAAGTTGAAGGTCAAAACCAAAGGGAGCATTTTCATGACCACGTGAGTGACATACCGAGGGTGGATATAACATCCACGGATGATTTTTATGATCACGTGTCTGAGTCGACGATAATGTCACCGACCTCTGGAAGGAACGAATCAAATTCGAATAGTTCAGATGAAAGGGAGCAAGCACTATCAAAGTCTTTAGAAAAATTGCTTCGTGTTCTGTCTGATTCTCCAGAAACTTCCAAGCAAATTATGGATTCACATTCTACCGTTTCACCAAAATTGTCATCATTGGAAAAAATCAACGACTCGAACTTTGATTACAACTCCACGCCGAATAATCCCTCGGGATCACCGCCTACAGTTTCAGAAGAGACACCGGCAACGATAGACGATGATGATTCGGCCAGAGAGGTTGACGAAGTGACTACAGTTGACATAGCAAATGAAAAGGCGACTACCCGAAAAAGGCGTGTTTATCCTGAAACTTTGGTCGAGAAATCAAGAAATGTGGGTAGAAGGCGAAAGGTCACAACAAGATTGGAATCAACGTCTAATCATAAAAAGCATGCGGTAGATGTTGATATTGCCAGGATGTTAGAATTGAGTAGATGCGAAGTTGAAAATGAGAACATAGGAGAATTAATCGAAAATGGCAACGACAGTGACGAAACCGATGACGACCGGGCGAGACGCACTCGTCCAATCAACAATCGCCGTAAGGCTGTTATTCCCAAACGTATTACTCGACGAACGAAACCACCGGCTCCAAAAGATCCCAACAAGAAATGGATCAGACGAAAAAATGTAGAAGGGGGTGCCGATGTCTCTTTACGATAAAATGAAAAATTCAACTGGCGACTGGATTGCTAAGAGTTTTAATTATGTAGTATATATATACTTAAAAAAAAAAAAAAAAAAAAAACATTCTAAACTAGCATCTTATGATCATGTTGATAATGATCATGAATTTCTAATGCATCGTTATTCCTATTTTATATATATTTTCATATATGCAATATTCTTTTCTTGGATCACCGGTCGAAAGCGATAGATATATAGTGGATCTAAGGAAGCAAAAGTATTTTACATATAGTTTTAAAATCAACACAATTTGCATTACCAGTATTTTTATGACAATACTTTCTTTTAAAATATTTAAAGATTTACATATAGCGAGTACTTATCAGGGTGGTCGTCTTTTTACGCTTTTTCTTAATTAAACAAAACTTAATTGTTCATGTGTGTGATATACGGATTGTGTGTTAAAAACAAAATATAATGATTTTTTTTTAATATTATATTAAAATAATGAAATATTTTTTTTTTTTTGTTTTTTAAAATAAATTTGATAATATAAAATTAAACTCGTGATTTTATGTCACATGACACTAGAAAAAGCGTAAATAAAAGTTATCGCGTACACGCGTTTGCTAATGATCGATGGCATCTAATAACATGAACAACCCTTTCTATTTAGGTCAACCCATACAAACAACTCTTCGCCAACAAGCAAATGCTAATCGAATATCCGTTAATGTACCATCGGTTAAACAAATTTCCCTCTCAATGAAGATACAAGAAAAGCAGGAGGAATATAATAATTTGTTAGTCCTCAAAAAAACTTCACAAGAATTTGCAGAGTATTTTAACGTGTTGGCCTCACAATTCGAAGAGTTGAATAACGGTTGTGAAAGTGTGTGCCAGTATTTTAAAACATTTTCTTGGTTGACAACAAACTAATGAGTTATTTCGAATAGCTGTTGCTACAGTTTTTCGTAACTGGCAAACAGTTTTCCGATCGGTTCTTCTACCTGGTATTTAATAACTTGATCCTTTCTAGTATTACATTTGATTGATCTCAAATACAACAACATCCAATATTTAATAGAAGAAACAAAAGACACAGTGTGTTCCGAAGCTGGCAACGAATATCACACGCATCATAACGACGCAAGTTATCGTGGAAAAGCCGAATCCGAGCCCCGAATGCCAGTCGTCGTGCGCATTCCGATGAATTAAGGTATTCTCACATCATATAATAAATATATAATTCTATATTCGATAACATAATTTGTCATTTTTCCTATAATTTATCCAGGCACTTGGTGTATCTTAATGTTAATTTTCCTTAGAAGAATAGGATAAAAAAAAATCAAATTAAGCAGAATATCTCAACGAGAAATAAAGAATGATAAAATAGTACATAATAAATAATAATATTTGATTGTAGAAAATTTCAATTCAATTTTATTTTCAAGTTTTATTATAGCTATCTCTAGAATTTAATTTTGATTAATATTTAGTATTTTGGAAGAACAGAAAATTTTTAAAGTAACGGTAAAGTCAACTTTTGCCTTTTTAGATTTAACCGTTACTTTGGGTCAAAATAATACGGTATTGGTTTTTTTCTTTCTCACTAATCTATTATTCTTTTCTTTTCTAAAAAAAAAAAGAGTAATGGGAAGGCAAAGCGCAAAACGGGAATAGGAGGAAAGCAAAAAAGAAGAAAAGCGCTATTTAATTTTTGCAAAATCTTACAATGCAAGCAAATATTAACATATCCAAGTATTTTTCTTAAGATTTTGATGAGACCTATTTGACATAAAGTAGACAAGTGATAATTATTAAATATTGTAGATATGAAACTTTGATACTTGAATGAAAAATATGGGCTCTAAATTAATTATTTCATCAAGTGAAATTGGACACCATCCCATGGGAAGATCGCGTTCGTGATTCTAAAATTTTCTTTCCGACACAAATAGCAAGCAAATCTAGAGAATATCATCCAGATTTACCGGATTTATTATCTAAAAATGGAAATTGCACGTCCACAACCAAGCACTACGGAAATTGGCATTATTCAAATTACATCTTTATGCTTAGATTCGTATCTGATTTTCAAATTCATAATAAATGAGTTTCTCTAAATATTTTGGATTGTTGTACATTTTCAAATTTCCGGTATGTTGCAAGTATTCGGTTAAAAGCGAACGAATCCGAGGTCACGTAGAATGTTTTGTTTTGAACACATGGAATATTGTATATATCATCTTTTATATACTGTAGTTCAATAAAAATAACTATTATATATTGAGGTTTCCTCAAATATCTCAGATCCTGGGCAACAAAGATTTGTAAATAAAACGATATTTGTTGTCATTACAACTTAAAGGTAAACCGTAAAAGTAAAAGACGGACCTTTTCGATCTTCAAAGCCAAGATAACCTGTTTTTGTCATCTGTACTGTACTACTTTAACCATTTCAACCGTCGAAGTCATTGTTAAATCGTATGCAATGTTACGTGAAAGCCATTTTCTAAGAATGTAAATGCATGGTTTTCATTGGAAATGTCCTAATCGTTCTTGAGGATCGTTATCATACGTGTTATAATTTTTGCCGTGTTCTTTTTTTTATCGATCTATTAAGTTTGGTTTTATGTAGTTGCACGTACCACGACACCTCTCGAGCTTCTTTTGGTTTTTGACACGTCTCTAATATATTCTAGAATTTCTTCCATAGAAAAAGGTGCTATCCATATTTTCCTGAAAGAGCTCTGAACCGTGGTTAGGAGTGAATTTTTGTGCTTAAATACTCCGGTCGATAGATGACATATTTTGTCTTTTCACAATTATTTGCCTATCTCAATTATTTCCTGAAAGCGGCTTACATCAATGTTTCATGGAAATCTTAAAGGTATTCGGCGATTTACATATTTCTTTGAGCAGTTTATATGACGATGCATGCAATTGTTTCACGATTAATAGCACACAGAATTGAATCTTAACTTGCCTATGCAGACCTTTTTGGTGGCTAACCTCACCGATGATTAAAAGCGTGTTGAATATTTTTTGAATAACTGAGTCAAGCAAAATAGATGTTCAGGACGTCGTAATATCATTATCTTTTCAATAGACAGAACTGAATACTCATATTATTCTGTATTTTCGGTTATTTTGATCTCCATTCGAGTAAATGATTCATTAATTTCCAGAGTCAATTTACTGTATTTGGGTATGATTGTTGGCTGCAAATAATAGGTCAAATTCGAGTGCTCTGAATTCGTTGTCGAGTGTGAATCGGAAGTTTCGGGTAAAAAACTCTGGTTTGGTTAAAAAGATGTTGGTGTAACTTGCAAACTAAATTCCTGTAAACATTACCACATTCTTTATAAGCTTAGTTAGGTGACATTTTCGTTTTGGATTAGAGTGTTAATATAATTAGAGAAACCCCTAATTTTGATAATCCTCTAGTGCACCCATTAGGCGACAGAAGAATGTTTACTTTTGACACTTGCTAACGTTATCGAGCATGTACTGTATATTTACTCTGAAGTACCTTGGCCGCATATGTATTGGCTTTGTATCACTAGATGTTTTCTTTTTTTTTTCTTTTAATCTTAAATTTTTCATATTACTTTAATAAAATATAGATAGTGTACATGTCATGTGATAAATAGAAGGTACCCAAAAGTAATTAATAAAACCAATTAATAAAAAACCAGTATTTGATCAAAATTTTAAGTTATATTATATTGTTGGTTTATAAATTAGAAAAATTATTTTTTGAAAATATAAAAATCATTTACAATCATATAAAAAATCGTTTCAAATATAATTTTAATAATTGTTATTTATTATTATTAATATTTATTAAATATTAAACAAATTGTTAATAATTTGTTTCAACTTGTTTAAAAACAATTTTTGAATTCTGATTTTTTTTAATAAATCCTCAATCTAATATTAATTATAAGCTAAATAATCTATTTATATAATAATTCAAAAATTTTTATTTATTTATTATTTTTTATTTTTTAAAAAATTTATTTAAAAAAATTTAAATTAATTTAAAATTCTTTTATTATTTTTATTCATTTAGTATTTTTTTAAACAAATTTTGTTAAACATGCGTTTATTAATTTTATTATAAAAAACAACAATACAATATACAATATACTATTATATTAAAGTTAAATTTTTATTTAAATGAAACATTATTAACAAAGTTAATTATAAATTTATATATAATTCTTAATTCTTAATATTAAAACCATTGTATTGTCAATATAATTTAGTTATTTATTAATTATTTTACTATAAGAAATAGATTCATTAAACTATTATTATATTGTATAATTTGACTATTTAAAATCCATAATTTAAAATTTTGTTAAAATAATTAATAAAAAAAAATCAATATAAAAAAAAAATATATATTAAATTACTTTTTAACAAAATAAATATTTTATTATTTTGATTTTATATTGTAATTATTAACATTATTAAATTTATTGTTAAGTGAGACCTTCCTTATAACTTTATTGATTATAAAGTAATAAATAAAATATATTTTATATATAGTATAAAAAAAAAATAAAGTATATAACAATATATATTGACTTATTATCTTAAACAAATATATTATTGAAAAATCTTGTGATAAAAAAAATATAAGAAACTATTTGTTACAAAAAAATATAAATAAAAAAATAACTTTCAGGCAGAATCACTATATTATAAAAAAATATAAGAAGTTTGATTAAAAAAGAAGTATATTCATATAGTAAAGTTATTTATATACTTTAATATGGTATTCAAAAATATAATAAAAAACTATATAAAGTATATAGTTAATATTTAATAGAATAAGTATTAAAGTAATACTATATGATAAAATTTGAAATCATATTATCTGTTATTTAATAATTTCTTCTATAGGATACAAATTTAATATGTCTATCTAGATTTAAGGCTTCCTTTTCAATAGTTGAGTATAATTCCAACAATAGTAACAAAGCACTAACATAAACTGTCAGATTATAGGACACAACTCCTTGATATTTCACTTTCACCTAAAATAATATTGCTCTTATTTATATAGATTAGACTAAGGCTCCTAATAGTATCACTTCGATATTAATTTGATATTAATTCGATATTAGTTTGATACTCAAATTTATTATAAATTTATATAAGTGAGTTATAACCTATATATTAAATTTATTATTAAAAATGGATCTCTAAATTATTTAGCATATAAAATTTTACAGATTAATTATATTTCTTTTGAAGGGATATAATTATTTATTCATTATTTTAATAGGGACATAATTCAAAAAACATTTGAATTAATAGCCTAAATTGTAAAAAACCTTTATAGATAGTTTTTTTTTGATCTTATATTTCAAAAAAAACTTTATTAATAATAAAAGACATTTAAATTATGTTCTCATCTTTAATTTAAGAACCCATTTTTATTTACTATAGATCAGTACTATTTTGATACCACTTCAGTATTGATTCAATACTTTTCAAAGCCCTAGATTAAACTTTAGCTATCTTTTTTTTTTAATAGTAACATTGTTACTTATGGGTACAACTCTATTATTAAAAATAATAAGTAAGTTTTTATATAATTGAATATTATATAATGTGGCTATGTTTAAGTAACTAAAGCCTGCTTTAATTGCTTGTTGTGTTTTGGATATATATCAAGTTAAAGATTATCAGAATTTGTACAAAGTACAAATCAAATAAATTGTCAGTTAATTGTTATGTCATTATTATTATTGTTATTATTATAGGTATATAAGAATTTTATTATAGAAACTAATTGTAAATAGGTTTGAACAGGTATTGTTTTTTGATTAAGAAATGAAAAACTTTAATTAATTATTAAGTATGTATAGATTATTGTTATTGTATGCATATGGAAATTTTATTGTGAAGACTAGTTATAAACAGGTTTAAGCAGGTTTTGTTTTTTGATTGAGGAGTAAGAAAATTTAATTGGTTATTAAGTATATGTAAATTTTTTAATAAGATAGAACTGAATATGATTTTTTGAATATTTGAGAAAAATTTGAGAAAAAGAAAATAAATTTGTAAAGATTGTGTTAAAATAAACATTAAATCCAATAACTTTGTTTAAATGTATTGTTAGAGGTATATTTGTGATATAAAAAGAGAAGAAGAAAATAAGAAAGATTATTATAATAGTCATATATAAAGAAAAAGATATCTAAAGATAAAGTTATAAAGAATGATTACTATGAGCCTTTTTCCATACAACCAAGAATTAAGAAGGACTTCCAACTTGCTTAAATCTTAATC